GAAAATCCAGCAAATTGAAGTAAAAATATGTGTAGTGTAGTTTTTGTAGTAGTTAATACTCTTCTTCAATGTTTGTTATTTAACTTGAAATGAGAAATGTATATGTGCCTCTTTTGCTCTTTAACTTATGTTTTAGTAGTTATGTGAGAAAGACTTTAAGAAAAATTAAGGAAAACACTATTTCAAATATGAAATAAAAAAGATAATCTCAAGTAGGGGTTTCATGAAATAAAAAATAATGAGCTTATATAAACAAAATTGAGAAATCTTTAAAGAAAAAAATATAAATAGTTCTTTGTGCAATAGTTTTTTTTTAACCTTTGTTAGTAGTTAGTATTATTACACACAAAGTTACAATAACTAATTTACATCTAAGCAAAAATACATACTTGCAATAATAAAAAGTTATAAGAATTCAAACTAAAGAAGTTACATGGAGAATAAAGACACACACATCTTCCTTGGAACCTTATCATAAGACAATAGATTAAAAATAAGAATACAAAATCAATGCCCACTTTTTTGACCTCTTGTCTGACACCCTCTTTGACAAACTAATCAACATTCAAGAGTCTTTTTCACCGTGTCAAGTTAAAGCATGAATTTGATAATATAATAATACTACAAAGAACAATGAAATATAAAGAATAATCTTGAGTTGAAATTTCATGAAATTAAAAAACTTGTGAATTTATTTTGTCATTAAAAATAGAGAGATATCATAAAATATCTTAAATTTTATAATTTAGTAGTTGGAGGTTATGAATATGAAAACTTAAAAGTCATAAAATTAATGATATTATAAAAAAAAATGAAGTTTAATAAATTTACGTTATGGAGGTTAAACTTAAAAATTAAAAGAAAAATAAAAAAAGCACAAATAAAGTAGATAAAAGAAATGCATTTATATTATACAAAGATATAATTTTTTTGAAATTGAATAAATAAAAAGAAAAGTAAAAAAAGAGCAAAGAAAGGAAAAATCTATAAAATAAATAAATAAAAATCATAAAATTTAACTATCGTGAATAGTTTGTTGGAATTCTTTTTATTAGATCAAATGGAAAAAATTGTAATAATTGATGAGAATTTGAGAAATATTATAGGAAACGAGAATGATAGCTTTAATGATAAAATAAATTAAATATGGCTATTGATGAAAATGTAAATAAATATGATTATTTTTAATGATTTTTTATTTTTTAGGTGAATTTTTTGGTATTTTAAAATTAGAAAAAAGGCAAAGAAAAGATAAATTGGATTGAAACTCTTAGAGAGGGTTACATCACCATTTTTATATTCAACTTTATTATTATATATAGATTTGTAATAAATTAAATAATTCTTTTTTACAGTAAAATAATTAGTTTAAATGAAAGAAAAAAATATAAATATAAATATAAATAAAGGTCATAGAGAAATGTCACATATTATACAAGAAAAATAAAAAGAAATCATACCTTTGACATTTAATTCTGGATACATATCATGAAAAATCTCCTGGATACATATTTATAAAATATATTTTTCATGTAATTAAGTACACATATTTATGCAATTTAAATATGGAACATCTCCATCTTACCTTTTTCTATAATATCATTTGCTTTTTTTTTTTAGGTTGTCCAAATTTAAAATCGTAAATCTCTACTTATAGAACCTGAAAAAAAAAAAAACAAAATATATGTTAGCATATTTTTATAAAATCTATACATTACAAATAAAAATATAAACAAATGAAGGATGAATAATAATTATTTAAAAAGCCATGTGAAAGGAGTTACAGAAGAAAAAAAAATATTTAAATGAGTAAGGAAAATGACTAAAAGAAGGAGAGGAGGAAAGTAAAACAAAAATAAAGTAAAATGAAGCTTTCGGTGGTAGTTTTTATGGACTTGAAATAGCATTAAAGTATAATTAAAAAGTAAGAAATTAATTAGAAATTGACTTTTAATATGGCCACATTTATAGACGTTTTAAAACGGCAGTATCATTTATCTTGTGCATTTAATTTATTTATTTATAATTCTTTGTAATAAAAATGAAGAAAAAATGCTAAAAAAATCAACAAAATCTGAGAAAATATATAAATTCATTTCCTAATCAATGAGGCATGCCACATCAGCGGACTTATGTTCCTCCTTTATATATATATATATAGATTCATAATTCAAATGGCTCTAAACCCTTCAAATTAAACACAAATAACAACCAATTTACAATTAAGGGTGATGTTAATGTTCTTATTAATCAACAAAATTATATATTCACGACTTGTATAGCTATTTTTGTCTTAATGATATTCATTCTATTTTATTTATTTCATTATCTATTACAGAAACTTCGGATAAAAGTATGTAGTATTATACAAAATTAGGTGAGTAAAAGATTAGATTTAGTTACTATCTAACCAAAGATTTTACTCGTTATAGTGATGCGACTGCTAATAAATCTCAAGCTAGTTATTACTCTTTTTTAAAAAAAATTCTAAAGACTTTTTATGGTCACTGAAAATAAAATACAAATATAGTATAAATATTTTGTTAGGAAATGCATTCTTAATGTCTTACTAATTAATGCAAACACTTCTAATAGTTTGATTTTATTTATGATGCTTGCAAAGTGGTTTGGTTTTAAAATAGTAACACTTGATCACATATTTTTTGAGTGTTCGAAATCTTAGTTAGTGTAGAAATTGTGACATATCATTGCCTGATTTAAAAAACACTTTTAATTTTTCAAGATGGCGACATGATTTGTTTCACAATACATGTCAGTATCTTAAGTCTGTTAAGCTATTGATATTAAGTGTTTCTATCTTATGATAAAAGTGAAAAACTATTTTCTTTGCTATACCGGTTATACAATATTGTTAATTAGGCTTTACTTGATTTTCATGAATATATAATGATGTGTTGCTAACTTCGTTAGTTTCACCTTGCATGTTTACTTTGACTCATATGAAGAAAATAGTCATAACCGCTCAAGCACTTGCAATTTAATAGGCATTAGAAAGCACTGTCAAAGAATCATATGCTATCACATACAAAAAAATGTAACACAAATATTCATGACAAAAATAAAATTGTGATAATATAAAGATTGGTGGGTTCCTTTGAAAATATCAACTTTATTTAGAGTTTAGACTCTTCGTAAATGAAATGTGCTGACTCATAATCTAACTAAGTTTTATTTTTATTTTTTCTCCTCAACTATTGTTTAATAAGTATGTTTATCTTCTATGCGGCTATTCATACCCCCTCCGTCGTCTACAAACTTGTCACTCGTACTCCTATTTGAACAGAAACCTCCAAATTAATCTGAATTTCTTTAAATGAAATCCATACGCGACCCTTTTTTTATCTTAACCCAAACAAATTTAACTCATATCTCATACCTATTTCAAAAAGAACTTCCAAGTGGCTTCAACTGCCAATTGAGAACTTCCAAAGAATCTGGTTTACATTGATGGACCTTTGAACCCTTTTCTTTCCTCCAAATGTCTTCTAGACGCCTGCCCTCTTCTTCAAACACTTGATCTCAGCAATAACTAATTCTCTGGTACAATTTCAACTAGTCTTGTTAATCAACTAAGCTTTATAGGCTTAATCTTTTGGAAATGGTTATGGAAAATGGATTAAATTTGTTTGGTTTAAGATAGATAGAGGGTCGGATATGGGTTTCAACTTGAAAAGGGATCGTTCTTAAGAAACCCGAGTGAATTTCGGGGTTTCTATCCAAATAGAGGTATGTGTGACAAGTTTGCAAACAATAGGGGTATAAATAGCCGCATAGTGCAATGAAGGGTAAATCTAATTATTAAGTGAAAGTTGAGGAGTATTTTTAACCTTTCTCCGTAAAGTTTATTGCATTGTATGGTTTAAATTTATTATTACGTAACGACGAAAAGTCTCATTGGTGTAATCGTGTCATTCCCATAATATTTTCTTCTCATTTTGTCTTTACTTATTATTTAATAATCCTATTTATCCTTTAGTCTAGCTTTTCATAGTAGCTCTACTATGTACTCTACTTTTCTTATGAGTTTATCATTCAAATTATTGATTTATGACATTATGCAATAACAGAGAACAATTTAATTTATCCAAACATTATATTCATTAGAATAATGCAATACAATACAAGACAATACGACAAATTATGAAACAATACATAACAACTTTCCAAACATAAATGCAATTGTCTCTTATATATAAGTAGCAATATAATACTCACTTTGTTTCAATTTATATAACTCACTTTTCTTTTTTAATCGGTCCAAAAAAATTTGACACATCTCTATATTTAATAATAATTTAACTTTTAAATATTTATTTACCCTTAATAAAATGATTTATAACCACACAAACATCTATCACTTATTTTAGACCATAAATTTTAGAAATTGTTCTTTCTTTCTTAAATTTCTTGCGACAGAGGGAGTATAAAAAGTCGTATATATAAGAAGCAAAAAAAAAAAAAAAAAAAAACCTTGAGACTATCACGAAAGAAAAATAAAAACTTGAACAAATGTTTTTCTTTAATATAAAGTGTCCTTCCAAGGAAAAACGTCAAACTTGAGTCTCTTTGCCTTGAAAAAGAAACTCGAAACTAATACTGAAAACTACAAGTTTACTAGTATCAAACTGGCAAATGCAGCTAGATTTTTTGTCATCAGAAAATCACAAATAGGAACATAACCGCGAAGCAGAAGTCAAAAAATCAATAATTTCATTCAAAACTGAAATGTAAAAGAACACAAGTTACAATATTGCATGCACCTAAAAGCAACTATTAGTTGTGACATGGATCATAATTCCACCACCACTGCTGGTAGATATCAGTTTGAATAACGGCTTGATCACATGAACAAACAGAAACCCCAAAAGAAAAAAGAGAGAAAAGAAGACAAGAAAAGGATTTCTGAGTTTCAGATTACCTCAAGGGGAATCATCTTCTACCAGCTCTATTTATCTAAAGAATGAATGAAGGAGAGGAACTGCAAGACCTACAGATTCTAACACTAAAAGGGCATTTACAAGTAGGAATAGGAGGTGCTTTTTCCGCTATTTGTTTCTCTAGGTCCATAAAGTTGGAGCCTTTATGTGCAAATAATCTCCTGAGATTTATCACAGAAAGCTCACTGAAGCTACCTACAGCAAGGTCAGCTTGCACTAAATCATACCTGCAAGTTACAAACTCCTAAATGAAAATTTGCGAGCAGAAGCAGTGACATACTTTCTGCATTTGAAGAAAATTAAAATAGCAAGAAAATCCAGAACTTGTATTAATATATCAACACTTCAAACAGACATTGAAGTAAGCACCTAGTCCTAAACCCACCCACCCTAGTCCAAACATAATACAATAAGACAGTTTAACAAAGACAGAATCAAGAGCTTCAACAATAAGGTGAAAAACCAGAAAACACTAATACATACGCTGGGTGAGCACCAATAAGTGCCACAGCCATCATTGTACAGTTGTGAGCAGCAGTTATGCCCCTAGAGTCGTCCTCAAACACCACACACTTTGATGGCTTTCTGTCCAGCTACAGAATTTTGTTTTTGCAATAGGTAAGATCCAACAAAACCAAGAGAGTTCAAAAGAAGGTTAGTGTTTTGGTCTAAGCTTAAAAAGCATAGAGGAAAGAGTAGAGAGTGTGTGGTTAATCTATCATTTAAATGATGTAGCAGGTCAATATTGCTAGGATTTAGCATTCAATGCAGATGTAAGTATAAACAAAAAACTGGAACTGACACACCTTATTAAAAGAGAAAATTAAGCATTTTTAGTTCACACACCACACTTCTAGATATTATTCTCCCTCATATGCAAGTAAGAAATAAAATGTGCTAAAAGCAGCCACCATCCCCAAAGAATCCGAACAGTATGTTTAAAATAGTTTTAGTATTCTTAACGAGTTAGAAATGCACCAGTCCAACACTCAAAATACACTTCAGCCTTACTTTTACAGCTGCAGAAAGAAATCTATGTGCTATAGACTCCATTCCGTCCTCCTCTGTCACAATTGCCTGCATCAACAGCATGATGGTCAACAACATGCACATGGTAATAGCCGACCAGATTGTAGATATTATCTCTAAGATAATGTAATTAACTACCTGGAAGTACTTCATGAGTCCCATGCGCTCTAAGGCTTCAACCATATTTCTGCGATCAAAACTTGACACAACAGCGCAAGGGATACGAGCAGTTGATACAGCATCCAGCCATTCTTTCAATCCTTCAATTGGCTCTGAAATCTAAAAAGAGGAGAGTTATAGTGATGTTTTGAGTTCATTGAAAAACACAGCATCCCACTCTGCATAAATGCTTTTACTTTGAGAAGCTTGTCATGATAGAGTTGGGAAAGCCTCATCTTCAATCGATCCTGATCAGCTTCATTCTTCTCCTTTGGCAGCGCCTATAATTGCATAGGATTTCTCAAAAATAGACATTTTAATAAGACATTGATTATATAAGAAAGGATTTCTACAAAACTAGATAACGATCAATACTATTTTTATCTCAGTGATTTTCTATAGAGAAATGTGTATTTTACCTCCCAAAAAAGTCCTAAAAGCAAATTCAAACCTGATAGTCCACTATTTCTCCAATCAAAAAGACATGCACACCGACTCATATGCATATAGTGTATAGAGGCAAATATCTCAAGAGAATTTAACAATTATTTATTTAACAAAAGAGTAGAAAAGATTACAGGCCCCAGACTTGGACAAAATTAAGGAAGAAGACACTATCCAGACTCATTAATCATTCTTTAGCCCCTGATCCCTTCCCTTCCCCTAATATCAAGGATTCCATTCAGCCCATCACGGGAGATAAACCCATTACTAAAAGTCAACATCACCCTGATCTCTGATTTATGTGAATTTGGATTTGATAGAGCCAGAAAGAATCTGACCTTTATATTTATGAATCTCACTACAAGTTGAAAAAAATTACAGTTACCACGTCACTGGCACTCCAGATGTATATGTGTATTGGCAGTAGACAGCTAAATCCCATCACATTCCCCATTTTCTTCTTTTCTTTTAGGGGCCCGACAAAACTTTAGAAATTTAAAACTCATTCCCCACTCGAGGATGTTTCATTTTATAAATGAAGAGCAAATATTTACTGTACAACCAATAAGAAACAAATGTATGATTCTGAAAATTTTGTCACACCTTTGTCGGTTCCACCAAAAAGGCACTACTTTTGGAGGATCCGACGACATGCACCCATTGACATTTTAGAAGAGTCCGAGCAACACATGTAATTTCAATCCCACTCGGATTGGCTTATTCTATACAGCTGAAATAATATTGATATTTGCATGCAACCCAAGTGAAGAAGTTTAATTACTCAGCCAGAAAAATCGGCAAGTCACTCACCCTTCTTCAGAGGCAATTGATTCCAGGCATCCAACTTCAGAGCTCGAGAAACTGCCTGAGAAGTATGATGTGGAAGTACATTGTCAACAAATAATTGAGTGTTATGACTTCCACTCAAGTAGAAGAAAGAACTCAGCAACACAATTGCTTCGAGCTTCACTATTGGAACATCAATATCTACCACATCTTTGGTCTACAATTATCTTCAGCAACATTTCTAGAGGAAATCAATCCAACCATTATCTTATCTCCCCCCCCCCCCTCCCCCTCCCCCACCCAACACCCCAAACCAACAAACATATCTTTTATCAATATCCAGATATGTGATTAAGATATACATTGTACGTATCCGTATAATTCACTTTTCTCTTCTATCAAATTCTTCTTTCTTAACATGAACCCAAGTTTTTGTTGCCTTTTGCCTGAGTTCCAGTCCATGCACCCAATACTTTGTCTAATACAAAACAAGCCACCTCTCCTCTTTAGGAGACATATCATGAAGCATCAACTTTTTTGGAACTGGACATTGGTGGTGTTGTTGTTATCTTAAAGCATCAATTCCTAGGGTGAGTGGCGAAACACCATAATTTGGGGATCTTGTACTTCTATTGCAGTTTATTCCAATTCATAAATGTATTAGAGGAAAGTTCCTTGACATATATATGCACACACACACACATAGTGAGAGAGACACACACATAGGAAGTGAGAGAGAGAGAGAGAAGTTCTTTAATCTGTCTTTCACACCTAATTTTTTTAAAACGGTCTCCCATATAAGAACCAAATTGGAGAGCAGGAATAAAGATGCACAAACAAAGACTTTGAGTTTGTAAGGCAAGGTCATCAAAGATTCAGACATTGGGCCTGAATGTAACAAAACCAGCACCCTTCAAAAATTCCTTATAAGCATGCAATTTTAGACACGAATAAGAAGCACAAACATAGGGCAAACCAACAATAGAAGATCACTTCCTTTTATATGGACATAATCAATTGCCAGCCAGGCTTCAGAGACCACGTCACAGTTGATCACAAATAAAGTAACAGTCACGAATCAGGTAACCTCTCCTAAATTAGACCAGATGGTCAAAGATTCAGGTCTTACCACCACATTATCCCAAGAGAAAATGAGGCCATAAGCTTCATCAGGCTTCATGGCATAACGGATTCTTCGCAGGAAACCCTCTTGCAGTCTATCATTTAAAAAATCCTAAATGCAAAAAAAAGGAACTCCTTGAGTACAGATATGTTGCCTTGTAGCACCAAAAGGCACAAAGATTCAAAAACCCTGTTACAAAATCTGAACTTCTGGTTTTACCACATCAACTTTGAGCAGTCCATTGGGTCTAAATGTCTCGAAACCTTCTCTGTATTCAGCACCAATTGCCTACAAAACCCAATAAACACAAACAAACACCCTATCAGAACTAGAAATGCGTGTAAAGCAGTGTGATGTCTTCACGTATGACATATTTAAAACACACACTTTGCATATCTTTCTCATGCAATTGGCCTATACATACAATTTGAAAACATATATATTGGTTCAGTTGGCCACATATACAATTGATGTCTTCACATACATGCACAAACATCCAACATCTGCGCTTTGAAAACATATATACATATACATACAATTAAGATTTCAGATATTATATTCACGCTATTTCAATTAGGATTAGTTATTTCATGCATGCAGATGCAATACATTTTCCTATGTTTTAAAAAGGAAAATGTTGTCATATTTTGAAATAACAAAATCTCGCTATATATTGCAGAAACGGACATTAAAATCCATCATAATTAGGCTTCAAATTATTGGAGACTAGAAACATCAAATAATTAGACCTAGACTATCGCTATTTCTGAATTTTTCTCTATTTAAATATTCATGGCAACCTCAAAAAGAAAATGAAAATGGATTGTTCACTTGGTTTCTTAGGGTGCTTGTTAATAATTTCGTCGTATGCTTTAAGAGAACCCATAAATGATTTTGTTCCTTATTCTTCAACTCTAGTGCCATACAGCAGGCTTATTTTCTACCTATACAATATGATCATCACAAGTTTATATGATAAAACAAACACACTATATTGAATTTGAAATAAGTGTAATATCCCAACATACACTTCCATTTAAAATCTGTCTTTATTTGATTGAAGAGATACAGAAATATCATTTAGGAACTTCGCACTTGTATATATGTAGAGTAAAAACTCCAACAGTTAAAGCGGGCACACTTTGTTTTATTGAATTTTTCACCTAAATAGTCAGGTCCAAAACAAGGTGGATTGAGATTGACAACTTATTCAAGAGAGGTAAGCAAATTGAATGCACAGTAAAAACGGATTCACACACAAACATACAACATTATTTAGGTTTTCTCTATTTTCCTCAAACAACATAACCAACAAGTCGAGGTCATTTCTATGAGAATTCAAAGAGCTCCCACCACTAAATCATAAACTACACTATGATAGTAGAATCGACATACCCTGTTGCTGTTCCACTGATTCTGTCTGTTCTTGAGAACAAATTTCCAAATAGAAATACAAGACAACTTCCGCCATTTAACTCATGCAAGCATGAAAACTAGTACTTTTGCAGCATTTCTCGCCTAAGGCAGAAATTATAACTGAAGCAATAAAATAAGAGAAGGGAAACAACTCTGGGAAAATAATCCAAGTTTGCAGTAATATGCTTTCATAGATAGGTGCAGTAAATAGTACTAGCGCACCAAACAAACAGAATTAGTTTAAACACTAATACAAAGTATGATCAGCCGAGCATCTGGATATCAGAAGCTTCATTTTAGTGATTCTATAATTACTATTGATGAGATTGCACACCTTGCCAAGCCAGAACAATTTCCTCAAGAGCTGGTCTGATAGTTTGCGTCAACATGTTTTGGTAATCAATCGCATCACCACTTGACCTACTCAGCTCAATGAAGTAATGGGATTCAGAAATTTCAAATATTTGCAAGCCAATGCACAGAGTTTCATATCTGCTCTCATTTAATCCCACTAATCTAAGAAATCCACCCTCTTTCTTCTTTATTTCAAGGTTCAGACTCCTGCCAACTTCCACAAGCTTGGATATGATGACTGGGGCAGGCTTCACTGATGTGAATCGCAGCTCCTCCTTGTGATCATTGTTTATGAATAAACCAGACAAATCAAACCCGCAGTTGATATTAAATGCACTAATGATTGCAGGTTTTATCAACTCTAACTTGGTGTCGGAGGAAGAGGTACTATTCTCCGAATTTGAACTGGAAACAGCATCACCATCTGCAATAACATTTCGGTTCACTACTTGTTTAGTTCCCACATGTCTAGATCCCAATCCTTTCTTAAACCAGGAGCTTTCCTTGATTTTGGCTATTGAAATCCTTTTATGAGGGTTTGGGTCGAGGATCCTAGAGAGAAGTTTACGTACTTCTAGAGGGAACCAATTAGGGCATTTGCACTCTGCCCTGCATATCTTCCTATACAGATTCATAAGATTTGAGTCATAAAATGGAAGATAACCAGCCAACAAGACAAATAAAATCACCCCACAAGACCAGATGTCAGCTTTGACACCTTCATATCCTTTTCTACTAATCACCTCAGGAGCAACATATGCTGGTGTACCACAGGTTGTGTGGAGTAACCCATCTTGCCGCTTAGACTCAGCTAATGCACTCAAACCAAAGTCTGAGACCTTTAGGTTTCCATTCTCATCCAGTAGGAGATTTTCCGGTTTGAGATCACGGTGATAAACATCTCGGCTGTGGCAAAATTCAACTGCGTTGATCAGTTGCTGAAACAACTTTCTAGCAACATCTTCCTTGAGCCTCCCCTTTGTCAGTTTGTTGAAAAGCTCGCCACCTTTGGCATGTTCGATCACAAAGTAAATCTTACTCTTAGTTGCCATGACCTCGTATAGCTGCACAACATGTGGATGTTTGACCATTGCCATAACAGATATCTCTCGTTTCGTCTGTTCAGTTAGTCCAGCTTTCTGAACCTTCTCTTTATCAATTACTTTAATGGCTACAGTCTGTCCGCTTTTCAGATCCCTTCCATAATAAACCTTACCAAAGTTGCCTTGACCTAATAATTTCCCCAATTCATATTTTTTCATCAATACATTTCCTTTCTCCATTTTCAACAAACAATCCTACTTTATACTACAAATAACACTCCTGCTGATATGATAATTCTCTATTTACAGGCACGAAACCTTGTTTCAGTGTTCAACCGTCTGCAACAAGGCCGTGCTTCAGCACAACAACATTCTTAATCACTGTTACTTCATTGTGCATCTGGCACGAGAACCTAAATGCTCTATGAGCTGCAAATTTGAAATCATCATGTAGAAAACAGAATAACCCCAATGCAGATGGAAACTCAGAGGCTTCTAAGAGCCAAGAGCTGTTGTTTCACCCCATCTTTCTGCATCCCAAATATATTTTTCAGTGATATGTCGCAGAGCTCTGAAAATCACAAGATACGAAAAAGAGACTCAAAACTAGAGCACACCTATGTTCTTCATGGGTGCACCCCCACTGCTAAAAGGTGGGTACACCTCTAATATCAACATATTCCTTCTTCTTTTAAACAAACAAACACCACTTGCCACGAAATAAAAACTTACATTCTCATTTCATCTATCTCATATTTAATTCTCTTAATTTACTAGCAAGAATCATATATTTTTAGTTTGCTGGCTAAACTAGGTAAGTATATCATCGATAATTTATAGGATTGTATTAATTACATGATTCGATGTATAGAGGTTTCGGCTCCAATCCTTATTATTCTCTATAGTGGTGTTTTTAACAAAAAAATATAAAACATTGTGACATTATATTATGTAGAAAGATATATACAAAAATACACGTATTTTTATATCTAAAAATCCTAGCAATTAGCTATTTTTTAATAGAGATCCTGACATAAACACACATGACATATTTAAAACATACACTTTGCACATCTTTCTCATGCAATGGTGAATGGCCAATACACTCAATTTGAAAACACATATATTGATTCAGTTGGCCACACATACAATTGACATCGTCACATATATGCACAAACATCCAGCTTGTGCGCTTTGAAAACATACACATATACATACGCATACAATTAAAAATTTAGATACCGTATTCATGCTATTTCATGTATGCAGATATAAATAGCAGAAACGGACATTAAAATCCATCATAATTAGGCTTCAAATTATTGGAGACTAGAAACATCAAATAATTAGACCTAGAGTATCGTTATTTCTGAAATTTTCTTGATTTAAATATTCAGGGCTACCCCAAAAAGAAAAAGAAAAAGAAAATGAAAATGATTATAGAGAAAGTATAATATGGCCAACATGGGGAATCCATAAGAATGGCTTCATCATCATATAACAAAAATACAATGCAGGCATTGAATTTATTCACTTAAATTTCTTAGGGCGCTTGTTAATTAATAATTTCGTCGTATTCTTTAAGAGAAGTACTCAGAAATGATTTTGTTCCTTATTCTTCAACTCTAGTGCCATACAGCGCAGCAGGCCTATTAATTTTCTACTTATACAATATGATCATCACATGTTTATATGATACTAAAACAAACCCTATATTAAATTTGAAATAAGTACTGTAATATACACTTCCATTTGAAATCTCTCTTTATTTATGAACTTAGCACTATTCTTGTACATATGTAGAGTAAAAACTCCAAGAGTTAAAACGGGCACACTCTTTGTTTTATTGAATTTTTCACCTAAATAGTCAGGTGGATTGAGAGTGACTGAAAACTTCAAGAGAGGTAAGCAAATTGAATGCACAGTAAAAACGGATATCCTCACACACAAACATACAACATTATTTAGGTTTTCCTCAAACAACAAGTCGAGGTCGATTCTATGAGAACCACCACTAAATCATAGATATATAGTAGAATCGGCATATATACCCTGTTGCTGTTCCACTGATTCTGTCTGTTCTTGAGAACAAATTTCCAAATAGAAATACAACATAACTTCCGCACGCCATTTAATTAACTCATGCATGCATGAAAACTAGCTAGTACTATTGAAGGCAGAAATTATATAACTGAAGCAATAATATAAAATAAGAGAAGGGAGACAACTCTGGGAAAAATAATCCAAGTTTGCAGTAATATGCTTTCATAGATAGAACTAGTGCACCAATTAAACGAACAGAATACAAAGTATGATCAGCAGACAGAGCGAGCATTTAGAAATCAGAAGCTTCATTTTAGTGATTCTATAATTACTATTGTTGATGAGATTGCACACCTTGCCAAGCCAGAACAATTTCCTCAAGAGCTGGTCTGATAGTTTGCGTCAACATGTTTTGGTAATCAATCGCATCACCACTTGACCTACTCAGCTCAATGAAGTAATGGGATTCAGAAATTTCAAATATTTGCACGTCAATGCACAGAGTTTCAGATCTGCTCTCATTTAATCCCTCTAATCTAAGAAATCCACCCTCTTTCTTCTTTATTTCAAGGTTCAGACTCCTGCCAACTTCCACAAGCTTGGATATGATGACTGGGGCAGGCTTCACTGATGTGAATCGCAGCTCCTCCTTTTGATCATTGTTTATGAATAAACCAGACAAATTAAACCAGCAGAGGATATGAAATGCACTAAAGATTGCAGGTTTCATCAACTCTAACTTAGTGTCGGAGGAAGAGGTACTACTCTCCAAATTTGAACTAGAAGCAGCATCACCATCTGCAATAACATTTTGGTTCACTACTTGTTTAGTTCCCACATGTGTAGATCCCAATCCTTTCTTAAACCAGGAGCTTTCCTTGATTTTGGCTATTGAAATCCTTTTATGAGGGTTTGGGTCGAGGATCCTAGAGAGAAGTTTACGCACTTCTAGAGGGAACCAATGAGGGCATTTGTACTCTGCCCTGCATATCTTCCTATACAGATTCATAAGATTTGAGTCATAAAATGGAAGATAACCAGCCAACAAGACAAATAAAATCACCCCACAAGACCAGATGTCAGCTTTGACACCTTTATATCCTTTTCTACTAATCACCTCAGGAGCAACATATGCTGGTGTACCACAGGTTGTGTGGAGTAACCCATCTTGCCGCTTAGACTCAGCTAATGCACTCAAACCAAAGTCTGAGACCTTTAGGTTTCCATTCTCATCCAGTAGGAGATTTTCCGGTTTGAGATCACGGTGATAAACATCACGGCTGTGGCAAAATTCAACTGCGTTGATCAGTTGCTGAAACAACTTTCTAGCAACATCTTCCTTGAGCCTCCCCTTTGTCAGTTTGTTGAAAAGCTCGCCACCTTTGGCATGTTCGATCACAAAGTAAATCTTACTCTTAGTTGCCATGACCTCGTATAGCTGCACAACATGTGGATGTTTGACCAATGCCATAACAGATATCTCTCGTTTCGTCTGTTCAGTCAGTCCAGCTTTCTGAACCTTCTCTTTATCAATTACTTTAATGGCTACAGTCTGTCCGCTTTCCAGATTCCTTCCATAATAAACCTTACCAAAGTTGCCTTGACCTAATAATCTCCCCAATTCATATTTTTGCATCAATGCATTTCCATTTTTCACCATTTTCAACAAACAATCCTACTTTATACTATAATTCTATAAATAACACTCCTGCTGATATGATAATTCTCTATTTACAGGCACGAAACTTTGTTTCAGTGTTCAACCGTCTGCAACAAGGCCGTGCTTCAGCACAACGACATTCTTAATCACTGTTACTTCATTGTGCATCTGGTACAAGAACTTAAATGCTCTATAAGCTGCAAATTTGAAATCACCATGTAGAGAACAGAATAATCCCAATGCAAATGGAAACTCAGAGGCTTCTAAGAGCCAAGAGCTGTTGTTTAACCCCATCTTTCTGCATCCTAAAAATCACAAGATACGAAAAAGAGACTCAAAACTACAGTTTATTATTAATTAACTTAAACGCAAAAGCAAAACTAGAGATAGACAACAAAAACAATATATCCAACGTAATCCCACAATTCTAGGGAGGGCAGAGTGTACACAGACCTTACCCTTACTTTGGGAGGTAGACAAGAAAACGATGCCCAAATAACAAGTAATTGGTAAAATAGGAAATGAAAAGATTTAGTTGAAATTGTTCATTTGGAAATGTTCAAAAAAGCTATACCACCAATGTAGGTTAAACAGTCATTACAGACTTCCATTTAAATAACTACAAAATTCAAACAGAAGACATATCATGTTCTATTACAAGGCCAAAATACCCTGGCAAGATCTGTTTCTGAATCTAAAATTAGATTCTTTATATCTTGATTCTGGACCACCATTCCATCATCAAATCGGGCCAAAAAAAGCAAAACCAATTCAATCCCCCCTTCTTTACCAATCTAAAAATAGATATAACTAAAGCATCTCCGATCAAATCGATAATTAGCATTTAAACAAAAATGAAAAAGGCAAACATGAACAAGTGTAAATTCCACATTCACACAACATTTACTAAAAAAATCATCGAATTCTCGACCATGAATAATCAAAATTCACAAACAAATCGAAATTAAACTTAAAATGGGTATAAGAAAGAACCTGAATACAAGTAGAGACGATCCAAGGAGAAAAATAGGAGGTGTGTTGGTAAATATATTTAATTTGGTGAAGCTCCCCTTTATATATGTATATATATACATGAAAGCATTAAAGTTGTGACTAAATAATTTGTAATGTTCAGATTTTGTTGCCTTGATACAAAATAATTGTCTGCAAGTGAAAAGTTGGTAAGCTCCTGCAATCTCACAAAATATAACAATTGTATCTAGACACGTATTGAACATCTGTACATAACGGGCATAATTTTCGTGAATTGTTTGAAAAGAATATTGAAAACGCTCCTAAATTATGTATGAATTATTAGTTTTATCCTTAATTATTGACAAATTTTAAAAAACACTCTTTTACTTGGCTAACAAAACTTACATAGACCCACGATCTTTCAACATGAGTGAAATACATCCTTAATTTAGCGTCACGTTTAAGATATTTTATTAAGAGTTTCATGTTAGTACAATAGTTTGAAACCACTTGCTAGGTCATGTGACAGATCGAGAGTGTATTTAATTTGGTTAGTCAAGTAGATGAGTATTTTTTTAAGATTGTCAATAGCTCAAAGAAACTATTAATTTGTGTTAAGTTCGAGGGTTTATATAATAAATAATAATAACAATGAATTATGGATTATTATGTAGAAATTACTTAATATAAGGACTTTAGAGCCTTTAATTACTCTTAATCTCAGTGTGAAAATGCTCATTACATACTATTAGGGGTGCGTATCAGTCGGTTCGGTTCGATTTTATGTGTTATTGGTTCGATTTATCGGTTTTCGGTTTGTAAATTCGTAAAACCGATAACCAAACCAATAACATATTTCTCATCGGTTTTTGGTTAATCGGTCTATGGTACTTAACGATTCGGTTTTCGGTTTAACCAATAAGAAAATACTCATATATATTATATACACGATAAGAAAATTTTCATATAAACCATATGATTTTTCCAGCATTTGGCATGAAAGTAATAATCATAAAAGTAACAATCATTTTTCTTGCAAGTTTAGACACTAGACACATTCAAAGAAAAAAGTGTGAAAGTAACAATTGTTTAACCATTAACAAAAAGTGTGAAAGTAACAATCGTTTAACCATTAACAAAAAGTGTGAAAGTAACAATCGTTTAACCATTAACAATAAGACTAGTAAATTTAGTATACTCTTATTGGGTTATCAGTCTAACCATTAACAAAAATCATAAAACCGAAAACCGAACCAATAACCCAATAAAAAAATTTGCAAAACTGTTTAAAAATCGTTAGCCCAATAACCCAATATCAATAAACCAATAGTGTTTTTTCGGTTCGGTTTATTGGTTAAATCGATTTTTGCACACCCCTGCATACTATATCTCCTATAAAATAATTAATCACAAATTTTATTATAATTTGTATTAGGTCTCAAGCATCTATGTAAGTTTATTCCTTAGATGGCTAGGAGGGAAAAGAATATTACAAGCAACTTATTTTTTCAAATATTTTGTGCAAAAGTATTTAACAGCTTATTGGGAAGGCATGAAACATAAAGAGGATCTTTAACTTGGTATCAATTCACAACTATGACCCTAAACTTTGTCAGTGCACAAGTAGGCACTTTAACTTTTACAAATTTAAACAATTAAACACTCGTATATTCCATGCAAAGTGCGTGATATACAAATGCTTCTAAGTGGCTGCCAACTAATTAAAATAAATACACGTGGATTTTTCAATTAAAATACTGAAAATAAAAAAAAAATATCAATTAACAATTCTGACCCTATGCTTAGAACAGAGAACAATGTTTTCCTCTTTCTTCTCTACAAAACCCTAACCCTAAGTTCCTACATTTCATCCTTTGATTCTAGTTAAAATTGTTCAAGAATTGTGCTGAAATTTCACGTACTTGGATGTCTATCTATTCTTCTTCCTCAATTTAGTTAAGGTATGTTTAATTTCCCCTTTTGATAATTTTATATAAAAATTATGATTTTTTTACCACAATTGTAAATTTGCTCTTTTTTTCACAGTATTGAACATATGGATCACATTATCGTTGTTTTTCACCATGGAGGTAGCTTTTATAAAGGTCAATATGTTTCGAAATTGGACAATATTATATTTATCGTAGACAAGGACCACTTTTCGTTGACCGAAATGAAATCTTATGCAAAAGATGTTGGGTATGATGAAATTGAAGCTTTTTATGTTGAAGACCCTACTACCCATAGATTTGTGAAGTTAGAAAGTGACAACCAACTATACAATTGTGGAGTGGGTCCTATTTTAATTTGTATCTGAAGCATGTGATTGTTGAAGAAGGGGGCCCACTACTAGCACTGTTTTGGGAACATTTTCTGGTGAAAAAAATATTCAAGAATTAATAGAATTCCTCTAGAGCTTCACATCCTGAGGATGGTATAAACGGGACCTTAAACGAGAAAGCTGGTGATGATAATGAGGAAGAAAATAGTGACTCTCTTGACTTTGAAGAGGAAGATTTAGATGGGGTTCCGGATGAGGATGACAGTGAAGTCGATGAAGAATTGAGAGCCTTTAGAGAAAATCTGAGACAAGAAAAGAGGAATGAAGCTACAAAGTCAAAAGAGAGAATTAAAAAATCTTCCAAAAATCAAGATGTTGAGCTTGGAGAAACTGGCATATATAAGGGATTTGAGGATATTTTCAAGAATAAGGCAGCCAAGTATATTGGTAGATTGGGAGGTAATGAAGAGTTCATTGGTTCATCAGATGAACTAAGTGAAGATAGCGATGAAGAGCTAGATGTTTTAGCACAACCAGGTGTTGATTTACCTTCCAGAAGAAAAAGTAAAAAATTGAGGTATGATAATTCTTGTTCCATTTCTTTCTTTGAATTAGGTATGATATTTGAGAGTGCAGTTGAGTTTAGAAAAGCTATCGCTGATTATGGTGTTCGACAGAAGGTTCAATTAAAAATTAAACCCAATGAACCTCATAGAATAAGGGTAAGATGTGAAGGAAAATGTAACTAGAAATCTTTGCTAGCTTGGATAAAGATACAGGAAACTTTTCTGTGAAAAATTATCCTGTTCACAGATGTCCTACAAAGAACATGAACAGATTATGCTCAGCCAAATATGTGGAAAGAAAGATGAGGGAAATAATAATATCTCAACCTGATATTAGAGTTTATAAGCTTCAAAAGACAACAAGAAAGAAGTAGGGTTTAAAAGTGGGAAGATCAATATGTTACAGGGCAAAGATGAATGTTATCAACAAGTTCTTGGGTGATTGGAAGCTTGAGTTTTCAAAGTTGTTAGACTATGCTGATATGATTAAGAGTACGAATCCTAGGACTTCTTGTTGGGTGAGAACTGATAATGAAACAGTCCCTAGAAAATACTTGTTCAAATATTTGTATGTTTGCTTTGGGGCATTGAAGAATGGATGGCTTAGAGGTTGTAGGAAGATTATAGGATTGGATGGAGGTTTTTTTAAGGGTGCTTGTAAAGGAGAATTATTAGTGGTTGTTGGAAAAAATGGAAACCAACAAATGTATCCAATAGCTTGGGCAGTGGTTGACCAAGAAACTAAACACTCTTGTAGTTGGTTCTTGAGCTATCTCATTCAAGATTTGCAACTTGGTGACGGAAATGGCATAACAATCATGTCTGACATGCAAAAGGTATTGTTTTAAACTGTTTATACTTGTTTATATAAGTTATTGTTGCCTTCTTCTTCTTTATACTTGTTTTATCTTTTATTTACAATTTATAATTTTGAATCAGTCGAGGCATATGTGATATTGTAGTATAGAAAAATGAGGCATGTGTGATATTGTAGTATAGAAACAGGGAATGACCATGCCACATTTTAAACTACTAGGAAAATGTGTTTTTGAACATAGAAAGCCTGCAACTTCCTGGCATCAATATATCCACTATGTTAAAATTATGTGTATTTGTTCATATTTCTGTCCCATCAGTAATGTATGAAGCTCATTTTAATCTATCCTCTGATATCCGGAGTCTCCTAAGGCAAGTAAATGGGAACAAAGA